TAGTGGGGGGGGCAACCCCCATTCTCCTTATTCCTGGCAGAGCCAGCCAGGGAGCTAAGTGGGTCCAGTAGCCCCACTTCCTACTTACTCTTCCCAAAAGGCAGCCACGCTGGGGCAGAGAGCTGCTGGACACCAGCCTTCCTGGGCCAGGCAGTAGCAGGAGCACTGGAGACAGGTTGCAGATGGGGCAGAATTAGCTCCATGGGAAAAGTGCTGCCCCTGCGCATGAGAGGAAGCAGGATTCACTCCCACCTGCTTGCGGGGCCGGCCCCTTTCCTGCTGCCCCGAATCTTATTCCCACCCTGCACTTCGTACAGGGGCCAAGGCACCTGGCTGGGAGCCAGGACTCAGGACCTTTCCCAAAATATATGAATCCCCTCCAGCCCCAATCCTCTGTTCTGCTCACACAGGAGCCACAATGATTCCCACAGCACATGCCAAGGGCTGCAACTTAACTGTGGTTGTGTTATGCTTAGAAAAAGCACCCGGGATTTTTTTCAGAGCGATAAGGCAACACGCCACATTTGTTGAACATACATACATTAAGCAATGTTTATCATATGCATATGGCACATCACACTCATGCGCTCTCACACACACACAAGCACACTCCGTCTTGTTGTTCCCAAAACACATGCCAAGGGCTGCAACTTAACTGTGGTTGTGTTATGCTTAGAAAAAGCACCCGGGATTTTTTTCAGAGCGATAAGGCAACACGCCACATTTGTTGAACATACATACATTAAGCAATGTTTATCATATGCATATGGCACATCACACTCATGCGCTCTCACACACACACAAGCACACTCCGTCTTGTTGTTCCCAAAAGTTGCTCCCCCTAACTGCACTGGCCAGGTGAGTTAGATGGGGGAGGGGGTGGAGCCGGGCTTCTGCTGATCCGGATCGATGGTCCCATGTTGACAAGACAAAAACCCGGGGTCCCTCTGCAAGATGCCTCCTATTTATCCCTCTCATGCAGCCAATTAGTCATCAACTGGCCTTTCCTAATGCTGTTTCAAAGAGAGTTCTTCAGAGGGCAGGCACTTGCTGCTTGACTCCCAAGGCGTCTGTATGTCCAGTCTTCTTAATGAGCTCACTTTGTAGGTATTGTCTTGGGTTTGGCTCCCAGACCCTCTCCACCCTTGCAACTGCTGCTGGAGGTGCTCCCCTTTCATTCTCCATTCACACCTCATTCATTTCAACAGGGCAATCAAGGAAAGGGGAGAGCTCAAAAGACTTTTTTCTTACAAGATCTAGATATCTTAATACAAAGTTCTAGGAGAAATGTTACAGAGATTCTCTAAGAACACTTAACAAAGATAGATCGAAAAGGACAAGATCTTAATACAAACTATAATATTACAGGGATTTATCCACAGCTGCACTGTGTGTCTCCAGAGGTGACACCCAGGGCAGTGTTCCCCACCAGTGTATGCCACGGTCTTTGGCGCAGCACAGCAACTCCCCTAGCCAGTCGCCTTGCTCGCGTCAGGCGCCCCC